AAGGATCCAAATACAAGTACAAGAATGCAATCCTCTTCAATTACACAAAACTAAATGTTATGGTTATGAAGCAAGCACAACAACCTCATTCAGAATAGCAACAAACGATCAAATGCAGGTAAGTGGCACGCCATAAATATAACATCAATGGACGTGTTGCCATCCTTTCACACGTTTAGAATCGCATTAGACAAGGAGATTACAAGATATTTCATTTACCAACCTATCGAGGCTACCTTTTAATACAAGCCTGACAACTAGGCCACCTTGGGCCCCTCTTAAAAACAACCTATTGACCAGCAAGAGACTCAACAGGATTTCTTTTTTTAACCCCTTCAGAATATCTCAGCCCTTATACAGCGATGCAAGTCCTACTCGCTTAGAAAGTGGCGAGGAAATATTGTACATCACGAGAAATCACATGAAATTTTTACACAAGGCTACTGCTATGCTAAGCTTTGTAGTTTTTGAAAATCAGTCCAAAATCAAAATCGTTTAAACGTTTCAGAATATCCTAAACCACACAGTACTACCAGAGGCGACACTCTGTCCAAAATCAGGTTCTATCAATGCCAACTTGAGTTCTATGTGGTTGGTGGGATTCCTGTTGCTGTGACATTTAGGTGTTATCCGTGGAATGTTTTCACACGTGACAAAAAACCAGTTTTATCAATACAAATCAATTAACTGTAATAAATGCATTTGGGGAAATAATAAACACAAATTTCTTCATTCTGTAGCTTGACATATGACATTCATGATGTCAGGCTAATAGCCCGTAACAATCCCTAGGAAAAAATCTTCCGGACGCCAATGAACATAAGCGGGAAATGTGGTGAGCATTTGGGGACACGAAGATCAAAGGGACCGACAGCAGGTGTCGCATCTGTATAATCTGTGCCTGAACATTATTTTTGTAAAATATGTCTATATAGTTTCGAGGTTAAGCCATTCTCGCTCTCTATCCAAAAGAAGTCATAGCGACTATGACCCTTTATATTTGCCTGCAACTATCCTTCTCTATCCAAGCTTTCCCCAGTTTCCCATATACCCACTCATCCAGGGCAATGATGGCTAATACCAAGTGCCAAACTAGGCCTGATTACGATGCATGAGCCTTACGCTCTCCAGTTTAGCTTGGTGATCAATCATCTTATTATCTGACACTCGACAGACTTCGACTACCCAGAAAAAGCTCACTTTCCTTTTAAAACTAGCATTCCTGGCCTAGAGTTGATCTTATACTCGTAGATATCACCGGCTTCAGCCATAGTGCTGTTGTAATGATTGAATGTTCTGAACATCAACGCGGTTTGAATCTACGTATATTATCCCACTTTGTATACATCCATGTCATGTTTTCAGAAATAAAATCCATCCTATAAATTATAGTAGGTGAGAAACTAATTTAAGCTGACACGTCCTATTTTCTGTTCGGTCGAAACCTGGTTCTGTAAACGTAACCGATGAAAAATAGATTCAAGTAGCTCATTTATATTCCAATGCAATTACGATATAGATGTTAAAATCATGAGCTAATGAAGAAACTTATCGCTACAAGTCTCATGAATGCTTTGAACTTTAAAAGCTACTGATACATGAGGGAGCTTAAAATTAGTATCAATAAAGAGTATCTAATTGACCACAACGTATTAGTCAGAAATACAGGGTGTTTAGTAACATCAAGGGTGAATCTTTGAGTGCTGCTAAGACAAAAAGTTGATATAAACGTAGGTTCAATCATGCATTTGAATATGAAGGGTGTAGAACTGTTTTTGGAATATCTATGATTTTTAAAAAAAAATATGATTCATTCTTCATTCAAACTTCAGAACACACCAATAAGACTCAAAGCAAAAAAACAATTTAACAGATTCAAAATCCTGCTATTTAGATGGATGAGTTCAAATAAAGCGTTTTCTTTGATTAATTGACGTATGTGTATATATGTACTATATATATATATATATGTGTATATATATATATGTGTATATATATATATGTGTATATATATATATATATCCATGTACATACTGTATATAGTTGTGTATTTTAGTTTATAGTATAGTTTAGTTATAACTATAATTTTTTTATATAACATCTTAGGCAACGCACATTACATCGTGCTCTAAATGTACTGACAAAGATAGTTAAGTGTAAGAGTAGCCTAGGCTAAACTTCGCTATCTTTGTCCCTCACCTGTACAACAAATAAAGGCGTCATTATTATTATTATTATTAATCCTGTACCTGCTAAATTTCGACAAATGCAACAAAACCTGTTAAAGTTAATGTTTTCAAGTTTATGGGGAGGTGAGCAATCTTTTGGAGTGATCAAATTGTTTAATTAATCCCAAACATGGTATTCATCTTTCCGGTTACTGTAGGGCGAAACGTTTTTTAGGGGGTCAAAAATTTGGAATTTGCAGTTTTCCTAATTCACTTATCAATAATAATGGAAGTACCAAACATTTTTGGTAGATGTAGAAAGTACGGGGTCAATCTACCTGATTGATTCTGAGTGATCATGAGTGCAAAAATTCGACTATGGAATTTTTTGAGGAAATCAGAAAATTTTACATTTGTCTATTTCGGCTGCTTTCACTCTACATTCTCCATATTATTCCTGAAAATCTTAGTTATCTTGGAAATAACTGAAAAGTTCTTTTCAAAAAGCCACCCCTTACTTATTTTTTTTGAACGGCGCGTGTATTACGCCACCTTTGAACTAGCTGACACACTTCACATTTTGCCGATTTTTTTGACATTATATTGGTGTTTTACGTAATAACCCTGCCGGTCAAGTTGACAATCTGAAATTCGGGGTGATATTTTATCCTAAAAAGAAAATTTCAACTTGGCTGGGTGCCATTTTGGACCTTTTTTCAAATGGAATGGGGGTCCTGTGATACCTCATTTTAAAGTTTCTTACGACTAGTCAATAACCTTAGGATATAAAAACACCGTCTTTAAAAATCACGAGCTACCAAGATGTTAAAATTAGGCGTTTTCGCACATTGAGTCTTCTCTTGGAAAGGTATATCCGAATATGTGATATAATATGAATCAATCGATTTGAAAAAACTGTCAAAGACAGTGATTATAAAATCACTATCATTAAAGTTATAAGATATGCACATCAAAATGGGGTATCACACGAAAAAAGGAAATTTAAAAAAAGTTCAAAAATGGCGCCCAGCCGCCATCTTCATATTATCAACTGCAACATTAACGCCAAAATATAGTATTTACGCATCAATTTCGTTTCCCCGAATTTGAGCTGGCTAACTATGCCAAACATAAATAGTAGTTCCGAAAAGCACTGTACACCGAATCAACTCTATTTAGAGCACCTTTTATCAATACCAACAGAAACGTAATATCCGTCCCAGTATCTAAAGACGTCGGCCGTCGTCAGTAACCGATGTAATATTAAGGAGATCGCCTGAAATGTAGGTCGCTTTTCGAAATCCTACTTAAACAATTACTGCGACTGTGTTGCCTGCCCGCCTCCGAAAATGTTTGTGGGTCATGCGTTCTGCACAAAAGGTCGGCCGACATCCATCTAGTAGTCGGCTTCGACTTTCTTGGCATAACCAGTGAGAGTTTCGACATTGTCATTTTTGCTTCCCATTTTCTCTTTTCTCTTCCTTATCATAGGTAAATATATGTTTGATGTCAATCCTACTATTTATTTTAACTTTTGATACCCTCAGTAACATTAGGAGGCGAAGTCTAACAACTAGGCTACCTTAATGAACGCCACTGGAAATGGGTTTTTCTCAAACAACTTTCGAACGTCACTGTATGATTTTCGAAATTTTGAGAGATTAGTAACTAGTTGGAGCTTCATGTGATGGAAAACTTATTTAGATCGCCAGGAACCAGTAACTCCAACGCAATATTGCCAAAGAATTTACACCCTGTATCACAATGGTCCAAACGATAACATTTTCGGAAAGCCTGACCTTTGAGCTGAAAAAATTGATTCTTGTTTGACATCAATAAAATGGACTGTTTTTAAGAAACATTCTCTTGTTTCAGTACAGTTCTGTTTATTTTTGCATGGGATGCAGTACACTGGTTACGCCATTGTGAACATATAGTAATTCTGATAAAAGATTCGTAAATGCGACCCCAAAAATTTTTGGGGAGTATTTAGAGGGCAAGTCTATAGAAACAGTACCTATACCGAAATAAGAGTGTTTTTGCTCAAAAACTCATTTTATCAATGTCAAACAAAAGGCACTTCATTTCAGCTTAAAGATCAGGATTTCCAAAAATGTTATCGTAAGATCTTTATGATAGTGTATTATTTTTTATAATATTGCGTTTGGTTTATTCTGTCCCTGGCGATCTCTAAATGGATCGTTTTTCATGAGCGCATGTGAACATGTGAGGCATGTCTGTCAAAAATCCGTTGACTTCTGAATTGTCATTCAAAAATTATTTGAGAAAAATCGATTTTTAGTAACGCCTTTGATCTGTACCTCCATAGGGTAGCTCCATAGGACATTTTTGTAGAAATTTGTGGCTTGTGGCATTATTTTTTGTTTAACAAATTATTCTGGGACATCAGGTGTAATTAGTTTATGAATGTTTTATTAGTAAGACACGTCGTGACTTAAAAAATAATAATAAAGCAAATGTTTCCAGCTAAACCGTTGTGCTGAATGCTAAAACGGACAAGTATACCCGCTAATATAGTATCGAACTTCTCAAAAACTTGTCAGCCAGCTAAAGATACAGTGCTGTCACGAAGTCATATACCTGCATAATATTAAAAATACGAGAATCCTGAAATACATATACGGAAAAAATATAATTACTGTATGAACAGATCTTCTACATACCTGGCTCATCAAGAAACTTTGCTTTTTTCCTTTTCTATGAAGAATAAAGCAACATACAAATGTAGATAAAACTTTATTGAGATTAGTATCTTCACTTGATTAAGCATTATTTCAAATATATTACAAATTACTATGAATTACGACTTACCGGCTTTTAAACATAACCTCAAAAATGCTATCCCACGACATACCGGATCCCAGCCCCAAGAGCTGTTCCATGTTTTTATTATTCCTTGCCTTGTGCATGTCTGACTCTTTCTATGCATCGTCAATTTCTAGCCTAAAAACCATACAAGCAAGCTTTTAGTTCTATCTAAGAAAACGCCAGTAATTTTAGATTTCCATTGCGAAAAAATCGTGTTAAGGTCAATTTTCATGGAATGCAACTTCTCAGCAATAATAAAATTTTCAACATTCTAATAAAATGATGAGTGAATTGAACTAAACGCGGATTTTCCTGCAAGTTTACTTGTCTAAAATTACTGGTTTATAAGATTCCCACACAAAAGGCAGGTAGAATGGAAGTTTTCTTTAGAATGAAGCCAGGTAGGTAGCATATTGAGCGTTTTCTTTTTTTTAGGTTTAGAAGGTGGGTATATATAATCGTAAAAAAAAGATTAGAACATCTTCAAACTCAGTTCAGGTAGAAATACATTCTCAACCACCACGTAAGTCTTTCCCTGATTTTTCCCCAGCGAACACAATTAATTTTATATCAACGATATTCGTACAAAGTTTACCTGCTTTCACCCATACAATAAGGGAATAAGGTGTTATTTTAGCCTTGTTAGGACTCATCAGCCCGATAAACGTCATGGAAAATGAAAGCAGACTTATATATAACCGACCTGAATGCAGATACCGTAGCGTTATCTATGAAAATTTGGCACAGCTATATTCCTCCTCTCCACACTAATTACAAATCTAGTTTGAAAATGCTAGCGTCTGATAGATGGCGTTGAATCCAAATATATGCGATATGCTAATATAGTTGGCTTCAGCGCCATCTATGCGACACTAACCTTCTCGAAGCGGATTTCTAATTAGTGTGCGCTATAGACTCACTTTGTACTTGCCAACAACTCTATAAGCAAGTTATACTAGATTTAGAATTCCGTTCCTCCGGGTTCCTCTAACAGCTAGTCGCAAAATTCAGGGTTCTCTATAACACCGGCTCTTCATTCCCTACTGTGTATGCGATGTGTGTTTTAACAATTTTTGAGGAGAAAAAAGAAGTTAATGAGATCTATTTTGGTTATTTCGGAAACTAAAAATTCCGCTCATTCGTCCAGTCCAGGATACTGACAGGTAATATTTTAAAGGAAACCCCGCCCCTTTTTAAGGCTATAATCGGGTTACAGATTAAAAGTTTCTGGATGAAGTAGCAGTTCAGAAAACCAGAAATTTGCAGCTCTCTAACGGTGTATCCTTAGTTTGGACCAGCGTGAATAGAAGCAACGGAGAAAGGGCGGAAACGCAAGAAAAAATGTCTACAAACAAGCTGAAGTGTTGTTGAGCTTCACGCCTACGTTATTCCATATATCGTGTGCGTATTTAGGTAAACTAAAAAAATAATATTCTAATTTCAAAAATCCGGGAATACACGATACATTTTTTTAGAAAATCGTTTTTATTTTTCCTGACTAACTGCGACTTACCTGTGCACAATTATAATCTGTCGGCCATAAGAAAAACTAGAGTTTAATCTTCCCATATTTTAGGGAAGAGAATTGGCAACAAATGTACGATTTATTTTGCAGTTCCATTTCAAATAAAATCAGTTATAAAATAATGACGATTTTGATGAAGGATTTTTTTATTTATCTCCTGGATAGTCTGAATTTCGGAACGTTTTAAATTCCTTTTATCGAAGTGATGCACATATTTACCTCTCATTTAACAAACCTCGTATTTCTTACCATTACCGGGATCCCAATGAGTCGAATGTGAGACCCAGCATTACGGATACCAATTTGGTGAAAACATCGATGTTTAGACATCGATAAACAACACCATCGTAACAATGATGGCTTCGATAAATCGCAACAATATTGATTAATGGTATCGATGTATCGAAACAAAGGCTGCGATCTTATCTGTGATACTTTTATCCGTTGGTGGAATTTCCACCGTGCTTTTTATAAATTTAAATTAAAAAAAAACGCAACGGGAGCTTCATGCGGAGATTAGAAGAAATAACGAAACCTCGTTGGTTCCTGCCATGTCGAGAATGCTCAGATTCTGCCAATTCGGAAGCTACCATTCCTCAATTTAGAGATTGCAGCACACACAAGGCACACCCACCTCCCTCACACATACAAGGTGTGTCGCAAAGTAAACAGGATTTTTGAAAAAATATCCGACACAAGAAGAGCCATCTATTAACTAGTGTTATATAGCTACATCTTTCACTGATGCCATGTCAAAATTTCATGACAATCGAACCACTTCACGCGGAGTTATCTGGCTCAAGGTGACAGTACCTTTTTAGCATCGCTAAAACATTTACCGAAACGCATCAGATGTTGATGCAAGTGTTTGGTGATGATTGGTTATCTCGTAGCCCAGTCCACAAGTGGTATAGAGGGTTTAAAGAGGGTCGTGAGCCGCTGGAAGACGGCCAGCCAAAATTTGTGATTACGCCAGAAACGGCGTGAATTCAGCAAAAATGATCCCAAATCTTCATTGATATACATAGAAATGGAATTAAATATCTCTAAAGATCCAATCCATCGCATTTTGATCAAGAATTTGGACATAACAAAGGTGTGTTCACGGTTTGTTCCGCACTAGCTTACGGATGGCCAAAAATTGCTTCGAATTCAACATTCGACAGACATCAGTAAAGAGGCCAAAAAAGACAAAAACTTGGTGTTTTCGTTAGGATCCCGAAACTAAGCGTCAAAGTGCAAAATGGAAAAGTCCAAAGTAAAGACAATGTTGATTTGTTTCTACGATTCGAAGGGAGTTATTCACAAAGAATTCGTTCCACCGGGCCAAACTTTTAATGCAGTGTTTTATCTTGGTGTTATGAAGCCTTTGCTGTCGCGTATTCGTCGTGATCGGTCAGAATATTGCGAAGAAGGGAACTCGCGGTTGTTGCACAATAATGCACCATCTCATCGATCGACGCATTTGTCCGATTTTTAGGCAAAACATGGCATTTTAACCATCAACCACTACCCATATTCTCCTATATGGCACCGTGTTACTATTCTGTTCGGTAAACTACATTTGGCCATGAAGGGACAGCAGGATTGCCGACGTAGAGGCCATCCAAAAGGCGTCGACGACCATTTTGAAGGACCAATGCCAATGAGCTAAAATCATCATTCGAAAATCTTTTGGTCCGTGCAAATCGCTGAATAAACTCTGAAGAAGGAGACTATTTTGAATAAAATAAATTCGATTTTCCGAAACAAAAAATGTTTATTCATTTTTTTCTTTGTCCTGTTTACTTTGCGATGGACCTTGTATATTATGCAATCTATCTCTATGCGCGGATGTTTGTATAGGCTCAGACACACAGTCTTTAGTTTCCTATCGCCACCTCGAAGATTTTCTCGCCCACGTATTCCTAATCCTTGCTTGCCATTGTCAGTGTGACAACCCACTCGACATGGGCATACTATTTAAAGTTTATATAAAACAGCCGTATCTGAAAATACAACTAACCAATATCGATAGTTTTTGCCAAACTTGATTTGAGAAAGTGAATGAAAGCAATTAACGAACTCACGTGCGCAAGAGCAGCTGCGTTTAATATAGGTTTATCCAGTGTGTATTTTGTCTATGGAGCTTCAGCTCCGCGCATGCTTCAGTTAGTCGATTTGCTTACACTTACTTCGTGTGACATTGATGATGTAACCGCCAAAAATCGTAAAAAGAACTACACAGCCGTCAATGTCAAAACGTCGGTGTTAAAAGTTTTTGATACACAAATGTGTTATCATTCCTACTCGGCATATGCTGTAGGTTTTCGGCATAGAGAAAAAGATTTGCGCCTACTGCCGTCGCCAACAAGTCCATACATTTTCTAAGAGATTCGAAGCCTTAACTCGTGTTTTATGGCATTGTACAATTCAACTAGCTATAAATAATCAGAAAAAAGAAAAAGCTTTTCATCTGTATACTAAGAAACAACGATCCCCTTTAATCGAAACAAAATGGCCCCAACAGCTCCTTAAAAAAAGATTTAGAAGCTCTGTAATATGCGGTTGTTCCACACGTCGACCTTAAGTGACATTTCCTATAAACATAACCGAAATAATATAAACAGCGACTACTTATTTTCGTGTAGATTTAGTAGAAATACAGAGTTTAGGACTCACATTCGATTTTTTCTGTCTAAACGCGAATAAACATTCGAAATGCGATGCGCGCGTGACAAGGCCAACTGCGATACTTGAAGCGTTTTCTGCTTCCTTCGATCGCTGATGTGTATTTTTTCGTCAGCAATTTCGAAAGCAATTATACGTATTTTTAGACGGTTTGTACGAAAGCTGTTTTTTGTGGCTTGTGTATGATATGATCATAAAAATAATACAGACTCAGCAGAATGACGTGGTGGTTTGAGATCCATAAGCCTTTCAATGGCGTAACTGCCAGTAATAGATACTGGATGTTTGTAAAAGAAAAAATATAAAGCTCTCTTTAAAATGGTACTTTGCGATTTTAGACAAGCTAAATAATTTTTTTGATCACTACTCGTCCGTTGCTGGGATTCATTAGAGCAAGGTTATGCCTAGATAACAAAAGCATGCAGAACAGCTTTGAATTAAAAAGCCGGCAGGCAATCTTAACAGAAACATTTGACACGCTGATAGCGGTTCGTCGATGGAAATTTAAAACTGTGAGCAAAACATGAGCTGTACAACTTAATTAGCGGATGGCTTTCTTTGATCACTTATTTCAGCATTATCACTTGCCTAATTTACTTGCGGTTTTGAAGATAAACTATTTTCAGCATTTCTCTTCACGATGCTGTAAAACGGATCGCGATCGGATAAAGAGTGCCTACGGTAGGGGACGGAGTGACGAGATGTCCCAAAAAAAAGTTGCAGAGAACTTTAGGTAAATTCTAAATTTACCGCTACAATTCAACGTGTTATCGTCATTTATCATATTCTGGTATTATAATCTTTCCTCTAATCGATCATGTGGGCAGAACGACATATCTGACGTCTGGTCTCCCGTAGCACCCCTTTTCTCATACCGTTTGATATGGAAAGATCAACCGCGGAGCAGCGCGTTGTGAACGCGTACAGAGATTCACAACCAAC